CCATTGTCTCCCCCAGGTCTTGTATCCTCTGTCTACATCCGGAAGCCGCAGGCCGTGGAACGCCACGTTTTGCCCGTTTTGTGGTTCTTCCTGAGTAATATAACCGGGAACGGAGTGCTGCCCGGCCGGAACGGCAACTTCAAGGACGTCGTCACCAAACTTGCCAAAAACTTACATGGAGTGATGGGGCCGAGCCTGGAGGAGTACGCCTCTGGACAGTCCCAACACGCCATCAAAATGCTGGCCGACATTCTGGGCACCAATAAATAAAGACTGATGCCGATCCACGGGGCCCGGTGCGGGGCCTGGCACTTCTTCCGGAGGACACGGACTTGAGGCATGGTGACCTCACGGGGGCGGAGCCTGCGTTCTGTGTAATTTAATGTAAATTCTGTACTAAAGATTAAAAACTATCACAATAGAAGAACTGAATCTTTCTGTAGGCTGGGAATGTAATTGTACGGGACATGATGCATCTCCTACATACTGTATGTCAGCGGTCTGCAGACTGTGGCCCGGGGGCCGGATGTGGCCCTTTGGGCACTATTTCATCCACTGATACCAGTAATGGGGCGTAATTTCCCCCCACTGACACTAATGAAGGGGCACAACTTCTCCCAGTGACACCAATGAGGCACAATTCCTCCCACTGCCACCAATGATGGGCACAATTCCTCCCACTGACACCAACAATGGGGCCAAATGACACCAATTATGCCCTTGGCTCCACTCCCAATGACACCAATGAATGGGACACAATTCCTCCCAATGAAACCAACAATGAGGCCCAATGACACCAATGAGGTACAATTCCTCCCACTGACACCAATGAAGAGACATAATTCCTCCCCCTGACACCAATGATGGGGCACAATTCCTCCCACTAACACCAACAATGAGGCCCAATTCCTCCCAACGACACAAACAATAGGGCACAGTTTCTCCCAATGAGGCCCAATGACACCAATGATTACACCAATCACAGCTCACACAGTATTTCTCAATGGCTGCAGGAATGCAGCCAGAGAGGAGAAATTATTGCTTTTACAGCCTTTATGGGCGAAAAAGCAATCAGTGTAAAAAAAAAAAAAAAAATCTTCATCACCCCCCACAAGTAGTTAGTGTCACCATGGTGACCCTGTACTGCTGGGGTGACAGTATGTATATATATTTGACCGCTTGATATTTTAGCTCGTCCAAAATAGAGATCGTATTCTGATATTCATTGGATGTCTAATCTGTGATAACAGGATACAGAGATTCTTTTTCTGATAATTATAAATCCAAACTGAACTTTATCTATAATCTGCACACTGTGGTATATATACTAGAATTTACAGTTTTTTTTTTATACTACTAATGGCAGTGATCAGCGACTTATAATGGGACTGCGATAGTGCGGCAGGAAATCTGACACTAACTGACGCTGAGGAGGGGGGACTGACTTACTGCCACTGACATCACCAGTGAGTGATCAGTGATTATATACACGGTCACTGTACTAATGACACCGCCTGGGAAGGGGTTAACATCTCGGGGCGATCAAAGGGATAACTGTGTGTCTAACAATGTGTGATGTGTGCTGCTTAGTTACTAACAGTCTCTAAGTTTCTCATCCCTGCTTTGCCCGATTTCCTCTGCACAGAGCTCTGTGTTGACTGTCAGCACAGAGCTCTGGGGTGTGATTGGACACCGCCGATCAGCAGGTCCCAGCCGTGAATCATTGGCTGGGACTTGCTGACAGACTCCTGCTGTGTACAATCACAGTGGGATCCAGCTGGGGGGCGCATGTGCCCAGCAGTAGGTGGGGATGTAGGGATTGCCTACAGCAGCTGCCCATCCGGAGCACATTGCGAGCCGGCGTTAGGCGGTTATTGTTGTTATATAATAATTATAATAATAATATAATCACAAGAATAGTAGTAAGGGAAAAAAAGAAGAAACAAATAATAATTATTATTATTATTAATATTATTGTTGCTGTTATATAATAATAATACTAATAATAGTAACAAGACTAATAATAATAATAGAAAAAGAAGAAAATAATAATAATAATAATTGTGACTATAAAAATAATAATAATCATTATTGTTGTTATATAATAATAATTATAATAATAAGAGTAGTAGTAATAAGAGAAAAGAAAATAATAAAAATAATTATTATTATTATTGTTGCTGTTATAAAATAATAATGATAATTGTAACAATAAAAATAATAATTATTATTGTTGTTATATAATAATAATACTAATAATAGTAACAATACAAATAATAATAATAATAGTAAGAAAAAGAAGAAAATAATTATTATTATTTTTGCTGTTATATAATAATGATAATAATTGTAACAATAATAATAATAATCATTATTGTTGTTTATATAATAATAATTATAATAATATAATAATAATAAGAAGAATAGTAGTAATAAAAAAAAAAAGAAAAAAATAATAATAATAGAAATAATAATAATTATTATTATTATTATTATTATTGCTGTTATAAAATAATAATGATAATAATTGTAACAATAAAAATAATTATTATTGTTGTTATATAATAATAATAAAAATAATAATAATAGTACCAATACAAATAATAATAATAATAATAGTAGTAATAAGAAAAAGAAGAAAATAATAATAATAAAAAATAATAATTATAATTATTATTATTATTGTTGTTGTTATATAATAAGAAGGATGATAATAATAATATAATAATATTTTAACAATAAAAAATAATAATTGTTGCTTTTATTATAAGTATTGTTATTGTTTATTATTATTATTGTTGTTATATAACAACAATAATAATAATAATAATAAAGTACTACTACTAATGATGATGGTACTCAGTTGGTATGTGAAGGACGTGGTGACGTCGGGCGATGACAGGTGGCGGTTCCCATCTGGCAGGCTCTGCGATATTCCAGAAGCTCCTCTGTCTTCGGTCATGAAGGACGTTGGTCACAGATCCAGGATGGTGGCGGGGTGGAAGCTGTTGGTATCCGTCCTCACCCCGGACTGAGAGGACTGAGATTAGTATTCAATTCTCGGCTGTCCAGATGGAGGATCGGGGGCTAAAAATGGCTCCAACACCTGCTGGGGGGGGGGGGGAGCTATACAACACCCAGAGAGTGAGGACACAGGATACCTCCCTCACCCTGGGAGAAGCATGATTATTTATTAATAAATCCTCCCTCCGGCCTCCCCTTCAGTCTTGCACAGGTGTCCCGGCTCCTCCCCTTCAGTCTTGCACAGGTGTACCGGCTCCTCCCCTTCAGTCTTGCACAGGTGTTCCGGCTCCTCCCCTTCAGTCTTGCACAGGTGTACCGGCTCCTCCCCTTCAGTCTTGCACAGGTGTACCGGCTCCTCCCCTTCAGTCTTGCACAGGTGTGTACCGGCTCCTCCCCTTCAGTCTTGCACAGGTGTACCGCCTCCTACCCTTCAGTCTTGCACAGGTGTACAAGCAGGTGTACCGGCCCCTCCCCTTCAGTCTTGCACAGGTGTACCGGCTCCTCCCCTTCAGTCTTGCACAGGTTGTACCGGCTCCTCCTCTACAGTCTTTCACAGGTGTACTGGCTCCTCCCCTCTAGTCTTGCACAGGTGTACCAGCCCCTCCCCTTCAGTCTTGCACAGGTGTATCGGCTCCTCCTCTCCAGCCTTGCACAGGTATACTGGCTCCTCCCCTTCAGTCTTGCACAGGTGTACTGGCTCCTCCCCTTCAGTCTTGCACAGGTGTACTGGCTTCTCCCAGGGACTGAAACGGCTCCCCTGGACTGAAATTCGAATTTTAAAATTCGGAAGATGGCGATATTCTATTTGTTATTCTATGCTATTCTATTCTATTCTTTTATTTTCTGTTCTACTCTATTCTTTTTTATTCTATTCTATTCTTTTCAAAATTCAAATTTCAGAAGATGGCTATATTGGTTTTTGTGTTATTCTATTCAATTTTTTCTATTCTCTTATTTTCTATTCTATTCTATTGTTTTATTCTATTCTCTTATTGAAATTTGAATTTCAAAACACGGCTATATTCTAATACTAATACACACAGTCTTTGAAAAAAATCAGCAATAGTCAGCAATGTGTTCACATTTCACTTTTGTTTTCGAATTCTGTTTTATTATTTTTTATTTTTTTTATTATTCTTCTTATTATTATTATTATTATACAGGATTTATGGCGCCAACAGTTTGCTCAGCGCTGTACAATATAACGGGAGACAATACAGCAACAATACAGTTCAATACAAGAGGGTTAGGAGGGCCCTGATCCTGGGAGCTTACAATCTAAGAGGGTTAGGAGGGCCCTGATCCTGGGAGCTTACAATCTAAGAGGGATAGGAGGGCCCTGATCCTGGGAGCTTACAATCTAAGAGGGATAGGAGGGCCCTGATCCTGGGAGCTTACAATCTAAGAGGGATAGGAGGGCCCTGATCCTGGGAGCTTACAATCTATTCTGTTGTATTATTTTCTATCCTATTCCTTTATTTTCAAATTCTATTTTATTTTATTCTTGTTTTCGAATTCAATTTAAATTTCTAATTAAATTTCTTTTTTTTTAATCTGATTTGAATTTTGTCAAATTTGGTTTTGTTATTTTGGATTCGAAATAAATCCGTTACTATTGTAATTCGGAAATTTAGATAACATCTGAATCTCTGAATAATGAAACTTTTGTCCAAATTTCGATTCGGAATGAAGCAAATGGCATACAGTATGTTTATTTTTCACATAAAGAAGATCTGGACACTACAAACAAAAAAAAGAAGAAATATAAGTGGCAAAAATGCCCCAAAATTTTGCACAAATGTTTTTTATTAAAAAAAGCAATTATTTTGTGTTATGCAGTGTTGCCCAAGGCGTCCAATCAGATCCCGCTGGTCATTTTTTGCAGCAAATTGTAAGATAAAACAAAGATTATGTAGGAATCCTCAACAGCCTGAACTTTGGTTTTTCCTGCTTTTTGGAACCAGCTGTCACACCTCTGGATGTTCTCTATAATGCCAAAATTATTGTCCCCGCCCTCCATATCATGTGATTCAGGTGTTCCAATCCCCTCCATATCATGTGATTCAGGTGTTCCAATCCCCTCCAAATCATGTGATTCAGGTGCTCCAATCCCCTCCCAATCATGTGATTCAGGTGCTCCAATCCCCTCCAAATCATGTGATTCAGGTGCTCCAATCCCCTCCATATCATGTGATTCAGGTGTTCCAATCCCCTCCCAATCATGTGATTCAGGTGTTCCAATCCCCTCCCTATATCATGTGATTCAGGTGTTCCAATCCCCTCCCAATCATGTGATTCAGGTGTTCCAATCCCCTCCATATCATGTGATTCAGGTGTTCCAATCCCCCCAATCATGTGATTCAGGTGTTCCAATCCCCTCCATATCATGTGATTCAGGTGTTCCAATCCCCTCCATGGACACAGGTGTATACAATCCATCCCCTAGGCATGCAGACTGCTTCTACAAACATTGATGAAAGAATGGGTCCCTCTCAGGAGCTCAGTGACTCCAAGCGTGGCCCCGTGATAGGTGGCCACCTGGGCAATAAGTCCATCCGTGACATTTCCTGGCTACCAAATATTCCACGCTCAACTGTTAGTGGGATTATAACAAAGTGGAAGCCACTGGGAACAACAGCCACTCAGCCACCAAGTGGTAGGCCACGTCACATGACAGGGCGGGGTCAGCGCATGCTGAAGCGCACAGTGCGCAGAAGTCGCCGACTGTCTGCAGAGTCAATAGCTAAAGACCTCCAAACTTGGTGTGGCCTTCAGATGAGCCCAACAACAGTGCGTAGAGAGCTTCATGGAATGGGTTTCCATGGCCGAGCAGCTGCATCCAAGCCTTCCATCACCAAGTGCAGTGCAAAGCGTCGGATGCCGTGGTGTAAAGCACGCCGCCACTGGACTCTAGTGAAGAGGAGGAGATGTGTTCTCTGGAGTGACCAATCACACTTCTCTGTCTGGCAATCCAGTGGCTGTTTCTGGGTTTGGCAGTTGCCAGGAGAACGGTACTTGCCTGACTGCATTGTGCCAAGTGTAAAGTTTGGTGGAGGGGGGATTATGGTGTGGGGTTGTTTTTCAGGGGTTGGGCTTGGCCCCCTAGTTCCAGTGAAGGGAACTCTTAAGGTGACATTTTGGACAATTTCATGCTCACAACTTTGTGGGAAGAGTTTGGGGATGGCCCCATCCTGTTCCAACATGACTGCCCACCAGTGCACAAAGCAAGGTCCATATAGACATGGAGGAGCCAGTTTGGGGTGGAGGAACTTGACTGTCCTGCACAGAGTCCTGACCTCAACCCCATAGAACACCTTTGGGATGAATTAGAGCGGAGACTGCGAGCCAGGCCTCCTCCCCCGACATCAGTGCCTGACCTGACAAATGTGCTTCTGGAAGAATGGTCCAACCTTCCCATAGACACCCTCCTAAACCTTGTGGGCGGCCTTCCCAGAAGAGTTGAAGCTGTTATAGCTGCAAAGGGCGGGGCCAACTCAATATTGAACCCTACGGACTAAGACTGGGGGGCCATTACAGGTCATGTGCGTGGAAAGGGCGGGGCCAACTCAATATTGAACCCTACGGACTAAGACTGGGGGGGGCCATTAAAGGTCATGTGTGTGGAAAGGGTGGGGCCAACTCAATATTGAACCCTACGGACTAAGACTGGGGGGCCATTAAAGGTCATGTGTGTGGAAAGGGTGGGGGCCAACTCAATATTGAACCCTACGGACTAAGACTGGGGGGCCATTAAAGGTCATGTGCGTGGAAAGGGCGGGGCCAACTCAATATTGAACTCTACGGACTAAGACTGGGGGGCCATTAAAGGTCATGTGTGTGGAAAGGGCGGGGCCAACTCAATATTGAACCCTACGGACTAAGACTGGGGGGGGCCATTAAAGGTCATGTGTGTGGAAAGGGCGGGGCCAACTCAATATTGAACCCCTACGGACTAAGACTGGGAGGCCATTAAAGGTCATGTGTGTGGAAAGGGTGGGGCCAACTCAATATTGAACCCTACGGACTAAGACTGGGGGGCCATTAAAGGTCATGTGCGTGGAAAGGGCGGGGCCAACTCAATATTGAACTCTACGGACTAAGACTGGGGGGCCATTAAAGGTCATGTGCGTGGAAAGGGCGGGGCCAACTCAATATTGAACCCTACGGACTAAGACTGGGAGGCCATTAAAGGTCATGTGTGTGGAATGGGCGGGGCCAACTCAATATTGAACCCTACGGACTAAGACTGGGGGGCCATTAAAGGTCATGTGTGTGGAAAGGGCGGGGCCAACTCAATATTGAACCCTACGGACTAAGACTGGGGGGCCATTAAAGGTCATGTGCGTGGAAAGGGCGGGGCCAACTCAATATTGAACTCTACGGACTAAGACTGGGGGGCCATTAAAGGTCATGTGCGTGGAAAGGGCGGGGCCAACTCAATATTGAACCCTACGGACTAAGACTGGGAGGCCATTAAAGGTCATGTGTGTGGAAAGGGCGGGGCCAACTCAATATTGAACCCTACGGACTAAGACTGGGAGGCCATTAAAGGTCATGTGTGTGGAGAGGCCGGCGGCCCAATACTGGGGGCAATATAGTGTATATGTGTTTTATGTCTTCGGATTGCAATGTGACGGCTTGCCTGACCTTTGCTGCAGCGATCTCTGAGTCCTGACCCCGGAAGTAGATGATCCTCTCTGGGGCCCGACGCCCGGCTCTGCTGGACCCATAATAGGAGAATGATATTGTAATGTGGAAGGGAATTTGCACAGATCAACAAACATCACCCGGCGTCAGTAACGACATTTCCAGCACTCATTGTGAAATCATTGCAATAAAAAAAAAAAATATTTATTTGCAGTTTTATCAGTGAAATTACTTTTGTATTTCCTAAAATTCGCCATGTCGAAAAATATTAAGTGTGAATATATATTTGGAATCATACGGAACGCCCCTTTCACACGGGCGTTCCGTATGTCCAACTTTCATCTGTCCGTATTACGGATGAAAAAACAGGCCCCCCCCCCATGTATTTTTATGGACTAGCAGATGTAAACGGACGATCATCTGCTTACACCCGGTAATGTCCGCATCCGTTAACATCTGTTTTTTTTCTAACAGAAAAAACCCAGTCTTTCTTCTGTTAAAAAAAAAAATGGAATAGACGAAAAACCGATGTAAACTGATGAAAACTGACGTAAATGGACAAAAATGTATGTAAATGGACAGAACACGGATGTAAATGGACGGAACACGGATGTAAATGGACGAAAAACAGATCTAAATAAGTGGATGTTAATGGACAAAAACGGATGGAAACGGATGGAAAACAGATGTAAACGTCCAAAAACAGATGTAAACAGATGGAAAAACTAATGTAAATTGACAAAAAACAGATCTAAATGGACAAAAAAATGGATGTAAATGGACAAAAATGGTTGTAAACGGATGGAAAACAGATGTAAACGGATGGAAAAACTAATGTAAATGGACAAGAAAACAAATCTAAATTGACAAAAAATGGATGTAAATGGACAAAAACGGATGGAAACGGATGGAAAAACTAATGTAAATGGACGGAAAAAAAAAGATCTAAATGGACAAAAATGGATGTAAACAGTTGGAAAATGGATGTAGATGGACGAAAACCAAATTTAAATGGACAAAAATGGATGTAAATGGATGGAAAACAAATGTAAATGGACGAAAAAAAAACAGATTTAAACAGACAAAAATGGATGTACATGGACAAAAACAGATCTAAATGGACAAAAACAGATGTAAATGGATGTAAACTGGATGTAAATGGACGAAAAACAGATCTAAATGGGCAAAAATTGATGTAAACGGATGGAAAATAGATGGAAATGGACGACAAACATTTCCAAATGGACAGAAATGGATGGAAAGCTAATGGAAATGGACGACGAAAAAAAAAAAAAAAAACGATCTAAATGGACAAAAATGTATGTAAAACGGATGGAAAACAAATGTCAATGGATGAAAAACAGATGTAAACTGATCATTTTTTTCTTGGAAAACCTTGACTGAACTGATGAACTAAACAGAACGCCGTGTGGAAGGGGCCTGACCCTTAACCCCTCACCTACTTGGCACTGTCACCCCCCCCCCCCCCCCCCCCAGGCCAATATTCAGCTTTCAGCGCTGTCACACTTTGAATGACAATTGCGCGGTCATGCAACATTGTACCCATATGAAATTTTTATCATTTTTTTCTCAGAAATAGAGCTTTCTTTTGGTGGTCTGTACTCCCCGCTGGGGGTTTTATTTTTTGCGCTATAAACAAAAAAAAGCAAAAAAAAAAAAAAAAAAAGGTTTCTTTTGTTTCTATTATAAAATTTTGCAAACATTTTTCTCCTTCACTGATGTGCGTTGATGAGGCAGCACTGATGGGCACTGATAGGCAGCAGTGATGGGCACTGATAGGCGGCACTGATAGGCGGCACTAATGAGGTGGCACGGTTTTGCGGTACTGATAGGTGGAACTGATGATGGGTACTGATAGTCAGCACTGATGGGCACTGACTGGCAGCACTGATGGGTGGCACTGATGGGTAGCACTGATGGGCAGAGGTGGGAGACACAGGTGGGTGGCACTGATGGGTGGCACTGCTGGGCACCGATCATCAGGGCATTGATGATCAGTGCTGATCCCCGCTCTGACAACATGAGGAAAGTGCAGCTGAGAACCGGCAATTGCATTTCCCGGTGATCAGCGTGTCATTGGACACAGCTGATCACATGGTAAAAAGCTGCTGTGATTGGCCTTTTACCACATCACGTGATCAGCTGTGTCCGTAGGGTGTGAATTTCATTTAGGTGCAGCATTGTATGACTGCGCAATTGTCAATTAAATTCATGCAGCGCCGTATCACAAAAAATGGCCTGGTCAGGAAGGGGGGGGGGGAATCCTCTGGAGGGCAAGGGGAGGGGGATCTTCTGGGGGGCAAAGGGGGGCATCCTCTGGGGAGTGAGGGGGGGGGGAATCCTCTGGAGGGGGGGATCCTCTGGGGAGTGAGGGGGGGAATCCTCTGGAGGGGGAGGGGGGGCAATCCTCTGGGGGGGGGGGGCGCGAGGGGAGGGAATCCTCTCTGGGGGGGGGGGGGGGGGAGATCCTCTGGGGAGCAAGGTGGGGGAATCCTCTGGAGGGGTTAAAGCTGACTTCTGAATGACAATGACTTCACGCTGTTTTTCAGCTCTATTATTGGTGATTTTTTTTTTTTTTACACAACAGGCCGGCTTCAGATGATTCCCTATTAATTAATGTCTCACCCAGGAAAATGAGAGTCCGAAGGACGAAATTTTCATTATTCTGAGATTTGGATGTATCTGTATTTCTGAATTACAATAGTAACGAATTTGAACGAATCCGAAATAACAAAACGAAATTTCGCCCAAAATTCTAATCAAATTCGAAAACAAATTTGAAATATGAACATTTTACTGACTATTGTTGATTTCCCTCAAAGACTCTGTGTGTATTACAATATACTGTAGCTGTCTTCCAAAATTCGAATTTAATAGAAAAGAATAGAAAATAAAATAATAGAATAGAATAGGAAAAAATAACATAGATTTCAATAGAATAAGACACAAAGAATATAGCCGTCTTCTGAGATTCGAATTTCAAAAAGAATAAATGATAAAGATAGAACAGAGTAGAAAAGAATAGAGTGAAACAGAACAGAAAATAAAAGAATAACATACAATAGAATAGAAAATAAATGAATAGAATAAAATACAAAATAGAATAGAATAGAACAGAACAGAGAAGAATAGAAAAGAACAGAATAAAAATCAAAGAATAGATTAGAGAATAATAG